CAAGAAGGCAGATTCACCATGGCATTACTTTGGTTTAGCACTGTTGTAATAACTACACTGACCTCAGTGAAGGTCCTAAATTGGGAGTAAGCCACTAGGGAGCACAGCTTTCTCTCAAAGTGTCTCATGGGACATTGCTAATCTTGGTGACAGTGAGAATCCTGGGTTATTTACAGAAAAAGTTCTAGTCCTCATCTGTGAAGAAATTGTCGAAATAGTGAAGAATGAAAACTGTAAAGGCTTCTACCAGAAGGCAGGTAAAAAATTGTACTGTACTGTAATGACTCTGGTTCCTCACATGAATTTTGAACATTCAGTTAAACGCTAAGCTTTTCTCAACTGGAGGCTCTTCTCTTACATTCAGCTCTGTGCTCTATCAGTTTCACAGTTTATCTTTTTCTGACTTTTTAAACATGACCCTATACTGCAGTTGGACAAATCTGCTACTCCCTTTTAAACATGAAGCTTGACACCCCTCCTCCCCCAAAGGCAAAAATAGTAAAGAAGCTCCACTGTAGTCAATGAAGGTAGAACATGTAAAATGAGATCGGAGGAGAATCTGGTTGTTTGATTATATTGTTTTGCAATTATGTGACCTAAACTTGTTTGATGGATCACTAGGATTTCATTATTTTGTAGGTAATAGTTTCCATGTTTCTAACAAGCATTTAATGCAATAGAAGGGTAACAGCGCTGCTCATGACTTGGTTTGGTATTAAGTCTTTGAATTTTAAGTTCAACTACAGAAATTGTACTCTGGGCTCATCCAGCAAGGAGTTTTGACAGATCTACTCATGCAGGTCTGAAATAAGGGGAGCTTTGAGTTCTTGCTGGACTGAGTGTGCATGAAATGTGAAATCTTTAGTTCTCAATCTCTTCAAGTTCTTTTCTCCAGGACTTTCATCTTGAAACTGATATGTGCTAGAAATAATGGAGAACTAATTCTATCCAGATAGCAAATCAAAGCAGTTTTATCTCACTATGTTTGTAAGTGTGTGGCTGCATCCTCACTACACACACATTTTTTTCCACAAGTGGGAAAACTTGTTCTAATGTTCAAGCTTTCTTGGAGCAGTTGAGCATAGGGAAATGACTGCTGAACATTTACAGACATCTCACTATTACTACAAGTTTTGATGGGTGCTGGTATTTATTTACTTTCTTTGGCAGTAGACTAGGGCCCTTAATTAGCAGCAGTATTCAAGTCATTGACTGGGATTATAAAGCAGTGCTATAAAAACTGTTCATACTAGCTATGACCTATATCTGTGTATTTTTGAAAAAACAGTCACCTCATTCATTAGCTACTAGAACAAATTCCAACTCTACCACTAGTTAGGTTTGAAAACTAACACAGTATCCCTTGCCTAACTGAAAATTTAAACATTTACTTCTGCTTTGACTGCCTCTCTTACAGTTAAAAAATAACACAAAGTAGTCTGTTCATGTAGGGCATTGGCACTTTAAACGGATGGATTGGTTTATTTTTAATTTTCCTCCAGGGTAGCAAATAGCAAGTTGGGAGATTGTACCATTTGAGACAAAATACAGTAATGAGTCTGATTTTTATTAGCATGAAAGTAGCATTTTTTTTATATAACACATTATATATAAAGCAAGTGAGGTGATGTGAATAGTTTAGTAGTATAATTGATTGATTGTTGTACTGCACGTTTCCAAGGCAGAAATAGTCTTCGAGGGCAGAGGATATATTACTCTTCAAAAGCTATGTCAAAAGCGTACACACACGTGTATGCATACACATGTGTGCATACTTGGAATCCTTGGTTCCTAGGTGTTTGGTCCTTGTAGCAGAAGGGGCCTTAATCTGCTTCCAGTGCATGGCTAATTGCTCATGTCCAACTGCCTGGTATTTAACATAATGATATTAGATTGAATTGTGAAGCCCAAAGGCATTGCACAGTAGGGACAGGGAACAAGGAAAGGGCTGACACCTGTGTGTGCTCTCTGTAACTAACAACAGGCCCTTTATTTGAGGCCTGAGATGTCTTCCTTCCTCACGCTTGTATCATTACTACTTTATAGGACTCATAAATGCACTGGGTCCTTTGCAGAAGATCTATTTGAAGAAAAGCCCCTTCCCCAAACACTCTGCTATCAAAATGATAAATGAGATTTAAAACTTGCATCAGAAAGGGACAGGATTCAGGTGTGCAGATAAGTTTAAGTGGTTGTCTGCTTTAAATATATTAAGTACATTGTGATAGTTTTAAGCTGAGGTTTTTCTTTATTGTTCTAAATGATGGCAATGCTTCAGGTGTGATTTATTGAAGAAATGTGGAGGCTGTGGTATATTCTGGAAGTACATCCTCAGCAAAAGGTGCATAATAGCAAAAGATTCTAATATTTGTGCTTGAGAGAGACCAATGGATTATTGAGGTTGACACTTACTAAAATGAGGAATGTAAAGAGAGACCCAGTTAGATACATAGATAGTGGGTCTGGAGTACTTGAATGTAAGGACAAGTGACTTAAAGGTGATTCAGTGAACAATATGGAACCAGTGAAGTGACTTGGATTTGGGGAAACATGGCTGGAACAATTAACTACTTGATAATATAGACTGGAGAGGAAGAACATGACTTTTATAAGACTTGGTATTTACTGTATTGACTTCCTGTTTACAATTGGCAGAGATTCTGGTAGTGGAAGACACCACTGTAGCAATGCGATAGATGACGTCCTTTCTCCTACCCATTACTTAAGAGGTAGAACTTTTGCCCTGTAAACCCAATCTCTTTCTTTCAGACAATCCAAGTTCAGGACTTTTCTGCAGGTAAATGTTATAGCCCACTATAATCTGGTCTGTGGTTATGGCTGACTGCTAATCAGCCAGAGAAAGAAACTGACTCTTTCCTGTGTGCAGATGCATCTTAAAATGTCCCAGGCTCACCCAAAGGTGTTTCAGTGATCCATATGGGGAATAGGTAGGGTGGCCATATTATTTTTAAGGAAATCCAGGACACTGCCCTCCATCCCTCCTTAAGTCAGCAGCACTGCTGACTGAGGCAGAGGCAAATGGGGTAGGGGCATGAGGTACAGTCCAGCAGCCAGAGCGGCATGGTACACCAGGCAGGTGGGCGGGCGGGCATGCACTGCTACTGCCATGTGGGAGCAAAGTGGGTAGACTGGAGCAGGTGCTACCCTGTCGCATGTTGCTAGCCCAGCTCCTCCTGAGCAGCAGCTGGAGGCAGGGGGTGGACTGGGCTGGAAACTGCTCTAGTTCACCCACCTTGCTCCTTAAAAGCAGCAGCAGGGCGTGCCCACCCACCTGCCTGGCGCACTAGGCTGTTCCACCTGCCTGCTGGACTGCACCCCATGCTGCTGCAGTTCCAGAACTTTCCGGGTTTTTTGTTTCATTCATTCTTCACCAATCGGCCAGGATCAGCCTACAAAATCTGGGACTGTCCTTGTCAAACCGGGCTATGCAGTCACCCTAGGAATAAGCTACATTTACCCATTTTTTCCATGGGGAAAAGTCTACATCCAAACAATCACAAAGGCTGAATCTATCAGTACGGAGGCACTAGTTAAAGACAAATATCCTCCTGGGAATGGGGAGCAGCTTCAACAGCTGCAAATTCAGGGAATGTGGTATGCCTTCAAGCTAGAATTCAGAGCCAATTTGGAGTGTGAAATAAGCCCTCAGGCAGTTTTATAGGAAGACTTCTCTCTCAGGTCAGTTTTCTCTGGCACTGTTTCAAGCTTTCTTGACACTGAATTTAGAAGTTGACTCTTTTTCTGAAAAGTGACCACTAATTATTCATATTTTTATTAAGAAGGAACACATTTTATTTGATCAGTTTACATGCTTTTATATTAAAAAAAAAAAAAAAAAAAAAAAGTTTCCAGGGAACACAGTAGGGCCCTCCTTTCACAGATCTAGGCCCAGAACACCTACTGTGTTCAACAGATGCTGTGGACACACAGCACCCTGAAAGCCAGGCTTGAGGTGCATATGCCTAATTTTGGGGTGTAGTATGTCTAAGAATGTGACCTTTGGAACTGCATGCTCGTTTCTTTCTTTCTCCAATAATTTCAGCTATGAACTTTTAACTAAAGCCAACAGGCTCTGTATATTATTAAGCAGCTGTCTGAAAGCATAAGCTACTCCAACAAAAAAAAATCTTGATATATTGTGGAAGGGAAATCTTATGTTTCAAATTATTCATAATAAATAAGGCATGCTGTTTCTGTGAGCTCTTCCTTTCGAATGAGGATGTAAACAAATAATTTTGGAACTGCATTGTCTAACAATATTATAATGTTTTACACTTGTGTATGCCTTTCATCCTAAACAATCCCAAGGCTCTTTACCAACATGCATACTTTATTAAATTCATTCACGCAAAGTATGCATCTGAGTAGTATCTAAGCACCATGGAATGAAATAATGCAAAACATTTAAAAGAATCCAATCTTAACCAATCACCAGCCTGAACAAAAAGATCTGGTACGAGTATAAATTCAATAGCTCTTGAGCAAAACACCAGCCCAAATAAAGCAGTCTTCTCCCCACTCCCCCACTTTCAGAACCATTACCTTACTTGCTGCACAAAGGCTGCAGCTGCAACTGAAGTGTCCTACATCCTTACTGCTGCAAAAAAACCATGGAATTTTTAAAAAGAATAAATGGTCAAGCCCACACTCTTATGCTTCATCTTAAAGACCCATCCAAGAGCAAAGTGTCCCTTGTTGGACACGGAGAGGGCCAGCCAACCTTTTGCATCATAATGTAGGACTCATTGCCATGTAGGCTTGTCATTGAGGTTGAATGTTTATTGACATATAAAATACAGTCTCTCTTTATACATACCAAATCTAGAGTTAACGATAAAGTTTCAACAAGAGAATTCATGTTTCAGTACTCGGAGACTGTCTTAATTATTAGGGATTAGGGTGAAACTTTCATGATGGTGTACATCTGCCTACTCTGGGGTGTCTTGCACCTTTTCCAGTGTTGGGGTGGGGAGGAGGGAGGAGCAGGGCTAGCCATTCTAAGACAGAATGCTAGATGGACAGCGAGTTCGATTTTTGGTAAAGCACGTACTATGTACTCATAATTTCTTGTAACATTTTGTCTGTTCCTTCAAGGTCTCGTATCCAAGAAATGGCTTTCTGTAGTTCGAGAGATCACAGCTTGTAGGAGCACAATGGTAGTTTTTAATGATTTCTAATGTAGAATTGTTGAACAATATTTTAAGTGAGAGAAATAAATATATATAATGTGCTCTTACCTGTTCTTGGAAATTAAGTCACAGTAAGGGAATAAGGATGCAGTAGTTTTTGACAGCACACCATCACATAGCTGAGCAAAGGTTAATAAACAATGGCTTTCCACATTAATAACATCAAGGGTTCTTCTCCCCAAGACCATGTTGTATTGATTGTACTGTGTTGGCCATCAATTTACTGTTATGACGTGAAAGGGAAAGCAAGAATGGTATGTTTGGAAAAGAGATATTTCCTAGAAATGGAGCTAAAAAATCCAAAATATATGGCTTTGACAAGAGAACAAAGCAAAATACCCACCATTGTGCTATTTCATGATTTCTCCATAAATCAGAAGCAGTAAACAAGGAGTCATTAGGCATGCATACACACATACTAACTTTCTGACACTTAAGTTGACTTAACTCTCAGAGCATAAGCATGTATGTGGAGCAGAGTTGACTTAAATGTGGTGCAAGATAATGCACCTCCAAGATGTATTATCCTGAGTCGCGTTTGTTAAGTCAACTCTAAGGGGCAGAGGAGGGCTCACAGGATGCCTGCCACCATGTCAAGTAGCTGTATGCGTGTACCCTTCAGTGTGGCTTAGCTTAAGTAGGCTTAGTTAAGTCCCTGTATTTCAAGTCAACTTAGACATGTGTACACACTTTAGATGATGCTCTTCGACCTGGAAAGACTTTGGTTTGTTTGTTTTTTATTCCTGTGCCAGTTGTGAGGCTTGTAAATTGTGTAGAACATGAGTATTTTTAATGTCCTCCTTTTTTAAAAAATCGTGTCAGTAGAATTGTGCCTAGGAAGCTAAAGGGAGAAATTTCTAATGCAGTTTCAGAAACTACATATAGGCTTCCTAAGTAGTAATGGACATCAAAATACACCACATATTTTCCCAGTATACTTTCTTCTAACTTTAAGGATGTCTAAACTTTAAATCTAACATAAGCCAGGTAAATCATAGAAATGACTAAATGTAAGACTTATTTGAAAAGTTGTCTCATTGATTTCAGTAGAAATGGAACTGGGGAAAAATAGAATTTTTGGCTTGACTACTTTTTGGGAGGGGTGCATCAAATTGGCCACACAGAAATTTAAATGGGTAAAGTATCTTACATCTGATGCTGCTCAAATCAGAAGTGTGAAAGCAGGATTTCCTGGGTCCTCATCTGTATATGTAAGAGAGGCTGTTTGGTATTAAAAGCTATTAAATTTAAAGAATAGAACATGCAATCCTAGACTTCTACCTTCATTCAGCTAACCCCATTGTACAGAAGTTATTTGGAAGTTCAACAATAGAACTGACTGAAACTGGGAACTACTAACCCATGAAAAATGTGGATATTTTGAAGATTTTTGTGTTCCGTATTGGGACAAAAATATCAAAATGGAACGGGTAGATTTAGCCTATAGAGAAAGAATAGGTGCATAAAGTACCTGAATTACATATACTGTGAGGCAGTGTATCATCTCAAGCAGATAAGGACTAATACTGAACTGACATGAAGTAAAACTATTTAGTTTGGCAAAATGAAGTGTATCCATTTGGATTTTATTAATTTTTTGTTTCTGATTTCTCCACTGGGAAAGTCTGAGTTAAACATTTCTGACTTTGGACTTTGACCCAAGATTTCCCACTGCATTTTCAAAACAGCAGGCATCGACTGTGCTTGTGAAATGTCAAAACCACGGCATCTCCTGCTTTGTCATGCAACTAGGTGTATGAAAGCAGTACAAGGAACCTTTTTTGGAAGCTGCATAGATGGTATGGCAGCCTGCTAGCCACTGGTGCATAACTAGTTCCTTTCCCTCCTCATACATACTTCTTCACCTTTCGCCAAAACTGAAGTAGTAATTAATCTTTGTAGTCTTTGTGGCAATGCTGTATGTACTTGCAAGGAGAATTATCCCAGTCATTGTATGAAGCCAAGTGCTAACTTTGCTTTAAGTGAATTGACCATGAGTGATTAGCCCATGAATATTTTGTTTGTTTGTTTGTTTTGGCTTAATACTGATAAAACCTTGGTTTATAGGGCACTTGAGTATAGATAAAACTTTACCCCAAACAGTTTCCAGTCTGTTTCCCTGTAACTTCTAAGTATTTTGATGTTTTTTCCTATTCCTTTCTTCCCCAAGATTCTAGCGCTTTCACTTAGGCTGAACAGAATGAATTTGGAGGATAAATTGGCAGTCCATTAATGTAGCATAAAGGAATAAATCCCCGATTATCTCCTTGAGCTACCTGCTACTTGTGCCGCCATCTTTAAAATCATGTCAGTAGAATTGTGTCCAGGAGGCTAAAGGGAGACATTTCTAATGTAGACAGATAGGCTTCATAAGCAGTAATGGACATAAATCAAAATACATTACATACTTTCCCAGTATACTTTCTTTTAACTTTAAGGATGTCTAAACTTAAAATCTAACATAAACCAAGTAAATCATAGAACCCAGTAAATGTAAGGTGTTTGGGCTGTCTGTGCCCAAAGGATTACATTCAAACCCAAAAGAAAGGGAGGCAAGCCCAAGGAGCCTGGCAGAACATGTATGATCATATTTTGAACATGATATCACTTGTGGAGTTATCTCAGATTCGTAGAGCTGGGCATCTGGGTTTTACCCCCTCCTGCCCCCCAATCCCACTAAACCTCCCATAAACCCACCATCCCATATCCTACCAACCCTCGATCCTGCCCTGGACTGTCTGTAGCTGGGGCTCCTGCCTCCACCTCTCACCCCTGCAGACTCCCCTGCACCCTAGCACTTCCTATCCTCTGTCATGAGCCATGTTTTCCCACCCGCTTGGGCATTCCCAGCCTCCATGGAGTCCCATGGTAGAGGTCCCCAGGCCTGCTGCATGCTGCTTGCAGAGCTGGATCCTCGTGTCCATCTGGCCTGGCTGCCCCTCACCCTCATACTGGAGGGGAGTCCATACTTAAGTTGATTTAAGAAGAGAAAGAGCTCCTAGACCAGTGCTGCCGGTCAACATTAGGAACTCTTTGTGCTACATTCCATGAACTCTGTTTAAATAGGCACTAGGATAACATCACTTTTTTCTGAGCAATTGGTAAGGTTAGCACTTAAGTGAACTAAGTCTGTGCACCCTAGTCATTTGGAAACATGCAAATTACTCTATGTACATTTATTTCAAAGTCAGTATTTTTTTATTTTCCTGCATTTCGAATTGGCAAGGTTTTCCTGATCCAAGAAAACAGCTATGAATGTCAATGTATATGTATTTTGAATTATCTATACCATAATGCATACAAAAACTTTTTATCTTTTTGGCTGGGTAGTGACAATAGCTTTGAGGTATCTAACACTTCGAGCTATCCCTTATTGAACTAATGGTGTTTTACAGTAAAGTTTGCTTCACACCAACCCTATTCTGGATTCTTTGGTGAAGGAAGTAGGAGTTGTCTGTAATATAAATGTTGTTTGTTATGGTGGCCATTCTGTGAATATAATGGTTTAATTTAATTGGGAGCCGACTGTAGGATACAGGAAGGGAAACAATAGACTGATATCTGCTCCACAGACATCTGAGATGGAGTACTTTGGAGGCTATCTCTGATCCCCTGGTAAGCCACCCAAACATGGTTACATGACAAGGGTGGTTAATCTTATAAAGGATACTATCTCTTTGGGGCTGGCTGTAATTAAAGATGCGGGATTTAAGTTATGGTGAATGCAGACTATGGTGGGGAGAGGGGTGTCTGGGATAAGGTGGGTTTATGTGAGACTATTGGAAAGATATATAGATATTGATATAATATGTGGATCTTTTATTGGATACAAAACACTCATGCTGAGTTCTTACTATTAAGGCTGCATAATGCCTTTTATTGAAAGGTTGTTTTGGTTCACTGCTGGTAGGAACTCTGGAAGGGAAGATTTGCAGGTGCCGAGCCTAGCTGAGTAATCCGGGTTGGTACGCTCTTAATTCAGTGGTTCCCAAACTTTTTTTTTTTATACTGTAGACTAACAAGCTCACTCAAAGAATTTTGGCAGACCAGGTATAGAAACAATCTAATTTACATATTTAAATGTGTACATGTTTAAATATGTAAACTTGTGACTATTTAATTTTGCACCCAGGTGCGGGTTGGGGCATCACAACCACGGGCATTGGGGGACCCTGTAGAGGAGGGGGCTGTGCAGGTGGCGGCCTGGGGGGACCCAGCTGGGGCTGCCTGGGAAGAAGGGGCTCTGCTGCCTTCCCTAGGAGCAAGCAGCAGAGCTGCCTCCTCACCCTCCACCCCAGGCATTTCCCTGCCCACATCTCTCTGCTCCCAGCTGCGGACAGGGCTGGGGGGCCTCCAGCCTGGCGCAGGCTCTGGTATCTGCTGCATGGGCAGCGCCATGCCAGGTGCAGCCATGGCGGCGGGAGTGGGATGGGGCTACCCTGCTGCCCAGCTTTAATCCCACACGTGACTGCCAGTGGCGGAAACTGCTCACCCAGGAGGATAGATGGGAGGTCCAAGCTGGGGGATTGTGTCATGACCTGGCAGCCAACCATTTGTGGCTCAGTGGTTGGGAATCTCTGCTCTAATTCTCTCTCTCTCTCTCAAACTTGGTCTAGGAGTGCAGGAAATGGTAGAGTTCCAGCCTGAGAGAGGTCACTGTGTAGGACCTAGCACCTGAAGAGTTGCACATTCAAACTAGACAGGTCAAAGATGCAGCTCTATCCTTATATAATGATATCCTCATATATCCAGTAACTCAACTGGGACTAAAACCAGTTCTTATATTGGGATATCTGGGAGCAATGTGACTGTGTGGGGTGGGATAGAAAATACTCATTTGTGGACTTTATGAAGCTCTACCAAAATATTCAAAACCTGGTTTGCAGCAGAACAGACAAGATTACTTGCATTGAAGCAAGTTAATTTGGTATGTTTATCCTTGCAATATTATGTACTGTTTGTTTCATTTTTTGCTTAAATACATTTGATGTCAGTAGCTATATATACTTTGTCCTCTGAGGTGGGGATGATAACTGAGAATCATACCTTCAAGATCAGCTCTTAAGCACTAGAATAGACTACCTAGAGAGGTGGTGGAATCTCCATTACTGGAGGTCTTTAACAACAGGTTAGACAAACATTTGTCTGGGATGGTTTAAGATGGGGATGATCCTGCCTTGGAGTTTAGACTGGGTTAACCTGAGGTCCCTTCCAGCTCTGCTTTTCTATGATTCTAAGCAGAACAGACTTCTTGGGCATTTAATACCACACTGGCAATGACAGGTCAAAGTTCTCTGTTCAGTCTAGTATTAAATGCCTTGCCATGGGGTTTTCCACCACTTCTCTTGAAGGCACTATTCCATGAGCTATTGTTGAGCTGTCTGTTGTGGAAAAATATATTCCTAAAACTTAAAAAGGGACATAGTCAGAATTCCATAAAGGTACCAGTCTAAACAAATCCTTTGTTTCCTTCCTGAACACACAATGGACACCACTCAATATTACTTTCTGGTATTTGTCCAAATCCTTTACAAGTACTTGAAGTTGGTTTTAGACTGTTAGCAGTCTCCCACATTATGCGCAAACAGAACCTTTGCCAGTGTTTAACAAACTGTTCTTATTTAGTTGCTTAACTTTTCCTCATAAACAGTTCATCCATCCACCATTTTCCCTGTAACAATTTTTATTTCTCTTACTTCCTTTCTCCCAGGTTGTTTTGATCTTTCTGGTACTAAAGTACCTGGAACTGAGTGCAGAACCCTAGATATTGTTGCTCTTTTCTACATGCTATTACTTTCTCCTCTGTGGCTTATAACATGATATAGCTGTGACTGTGTCCAAAAATGTAACCTTGTGGGTGGTCCCTTCCCCTCACCCTGCTTGCTTTTAATAGGCCACATGTAATCTGTTCTCTTATTATCTATCAGGCTTGGCAAGAAAATAAAATGGATACGACTGGCGTATTACTACGTATTTTATTTCCTTCAATCTAGAAAACTAAGTTCCATACCTTCTGCAAATTCTTATATTTCTGTCCTAATGGCTGTTTTGTCTTCCTCACTTGGCTTTGTACACAACACAAGTCCCCTATTCCCAGAGGGTTGTAATTTAGACCAGGGGTCAGCAACCTAGGGCCTGTGAAACCATTGGATCCAGCCTATGGAGATGGGTGGCTTTCATAGCATTCTGGTGGTGGGAGCCTGTGCCATGGCCAGGAGAAGTGGCAGCAGCTGGGTAAGTCATATGAAAAATAGTGCCCCATAGGATACATATTCCCATGACTTTGTGAATTGTGTATACATACATGTTTACTATGTACCAGTTAATGTTTTAATCCTGTGAAAAACGGTTTAGTCCAAATCATCAAGATCCTTTTTGTGAGTCTTGATGCAAAGGTGAAACAAATGCATTGCTACTATCCAAATAGTGTATATTTAATTTGATAAAAACAGAAAGTATGTCTTATAGTTTAGGGTTTTTTGTTTTGTATTGTTTTTTGTTTTATGTCATGAGTTTTTTTTGTTTGTTTGTTTGTTTGTTTTCCCCCAATTTGTTTTCTGGGAGCTTCTCAGCATTGTCTGTCAGCATGAGTAGTAAAATTGAAGCAAGTTTTTTATCTTTTGTTTTTAACTATACTATACTTTAATACTTACCAGAGTTGCCTTTTTCAAAAAGATCAGAACACTTTGCATCTTTTTGGGTCATCATAGCTTCCTATAATAAGCTATCACACAATTATGAGTTTATTAACTGCAGAAAAATGCAAAACTTTGTACATATCTGGAGCTGCTGACTTCCATTATATTTGGAAATAGTAACTACATAGTGTTTTAACCTTTTTCAGTTTATCACATCTTTATTTGTTTCAACACTGACTTCAGCAGTTCAGATTACTTCAGTGTTGTTGCAGCTGTCAGCTCCCTTGTTGATTATTGATATACTTAAATCTTTTGGTGCCCGTGTGTTCAAAGCAATAAACATTCCTTGCCCAGAAAACATGCAAGCTAAGGTGCCTATTTTGCCAAAACTACAGTATATAAATAATTCCATTGAGTTTATAAATACTTCTCTCTATAGTGGCAACCCTCCTTTTTAATTTTTTTTTTTCTTCTTCCCACCCTTGTAAGGGATGTTCTCTACAACACATGGCTGTCCTTGTTAACTTTCTGTCACTATAGGTAACACACTCCATTTAATAATATATCATAAAGCAAATCTGTGCATAGAAATAAAATGTTAGCTTAGGCTTGATTCCCATCTAAAAGTAGAGAGAGGTAGTTAGCCATGTCAGTCTACAGTCAAGGCAGAAAATGGGGCTTTAAAGACTTAACTTGTTCAGAAAAGCATAAGCCTTCATAGGCTGCCTACTTTGTGAGATGTGAAGCCTGAACACAGGGTAACACCTTAAACATCAATACCCTTCTTTCCATTTAAGTGAACTTAGTTTATAGTTTTCCCCCCCCCCCCTAAATTCTAAGCTGTCTATTGGCCAGAGCCCTGATTATCTTGTGGTACTCTGTGCAGGTGAAACCATGTACCTTTGTGGGGCTCATATCAGAACAAGGACCTAGGAGAGAATGTGATGTTAACTCGCTGACCAGAAGTATTGCCAACCAGAAGCTTAAAAGTGTGAGACTTTATGTAATTTAACATTCTTTTAATTTGCCTCCTGGTCTTTATGGTTCATAGCTTTTTAGGATTTTAGTTGCAGTCACGATGGCTAGAAATGGCTTTGCTTTAATTTTAAAATGCACACTGGGGTTCTTTATGTAGTCTTCCAACTTCAAAATCTGGGGTGTGAAGAAAAACACCAAATATTATGAGACTTGCTACAAAATCATGGAAGTTGGCAACCGTGAAGTATTGGCTTGTTGTATGTCATCATGTTTCCAGTCAGTATAGGGATTCTGAGGCATGAAAAAAATTATGAACTGGGGGGAAAAATGCATATTGACTTGGCCAATCTTTGCGGGCATCGTTCATGATTCTGAATGGCGTTGTCTACAAGGCTGTTCAAATGAAGTAGAACTTCTTTTAGAGTGTAATAAGAGACTCTTGAAAGTGACATTTCTGACTTTCAAAACTTACTTTTATAACCACTTTGGAGTAAGTACAAATGAGATGATTCTGTAAAGTACTTATTAACCTGAAGTAAAAGTATAATAGGTATCCATTGTGTGCTTTTAAAAAAATGGAGTAGTGTCCCATGTGACAGTTTCTACATCTAAGCCAAGAGTGGAACTCCTTGTTAAGTCCTGGCACTATACTACACAGTCATCAGGCCTAAAAGTTGCTATAGAGAAATTCTCAACTTTGAGGGGCCCTGCTTCCAAAGAAATGTTTTTGCACAGCAATTTAAAGCAAAAAAGTAGGACTCTCAATGTATTCATAGAACTTGAAATGCTTTTTCTTGGTTTACCAAAAAGAGCCCCTAAATGCAGGGAAACTATAAATGATGGAACTAAAGGATCACGTTTAAGATGCAAATACCTAACTATTGCATTTCATGAGCACTGCAAGATCCGGCTGATACTAGGGAACTCAGTAATCCATACTCTTGGTCTTGACCTATATAACTTCAGCTACTGTGGAAACCCTAACCAGATTGTTTTTTATGATTCTTTAAGTAGAGTACCTTCAAAATGCTAGTAATCATTATGTGCAATGATGAGGGGTAATCAGAATCTCCTTTGTTTAGATTTTCAAAGAAAGATGAAAACAGAACTGATTATCTTTTTAAATGACTTTTATAATTCCTAAAAAATATCATGGGGGAATGCTAAGTGTCTGCTCCTTACATTGTATTCAGGGAATATCCTTCTGCTTGTTGCATTTTCTTATTAGTGTTATTCACTAAGAAGAATTTGAAGCATTTTGATTTGATGAAATGTTACCCTTAAGCCACTTCCTGTACATGATCTCCTTAATATTTTAAAGTTTCTCTTGCCTATCACATTGTAATCTTGTCTGGCAGTACAGTACATGCCTGAAGGGGACTAGAAACTGCTCTTCCGAGATTTATAATGTTAGCAGTGAGAAGACTACATGGATACTATAGTATGTCTCCTGGGTCTTTGTGCACCTACATACAGTACTTAGAATTTAATAATGGGGCACTTTTAATGAAAAACTGGAGAAGACGACTACATGTAAACTTTAAAAAATAAATATATTTTGTTAAGAAATGCAATTGTTCATGTTTACATTATTTGTATAAAAACAATGTTATACTTGTACAAATATCTCTTCCCTGGTCCTAGCTAATAGACACCTGACTGCAAGTAGCATAATTAATTTGGCATCCATAATAAAGTTTAGTCCTCCTTCCCCCTCCCTCCCTCAAATCCAGTAGATTAAAAAGCAACTTAAAGTATGCTGAAAAATTTAAATGACTGGATTCTAACTAGATATAGTCAGACTCTTCTCCATTTACCACCATCACAGAGTCTGACTTGGAAATGCTGTCCCTCTTAAGAGGTGTAGTTCCTTCCTTCCTATTTTCTCCTATGGACTACATCGGGGTGGGCAATTATTTCGGCTGGAGGGCTGCTTATTGAGTTTTGGTGAGCTGTTGAGGGCAAGAGGTAGCCCCGCCTCTGGCCACCCTCTTTGGGCCGGAAGTCCCCTAACCCAGACCTTTGCCACCAGAAGTCCCTCCCCTTGCCCCAGAAATGCTTTTTGGGAAGTGGGGAGGGGGGTGTGTGCCATCTTTAAAACAGAAAAAAAAATCATATACTAAAAAAAAATCAAATCACCTGCTGTAAATTATTTCAATTTTACTTAAAAAGATATTTTTGTCTTGATTTTATGTATGTTTGCATAGTGTATCGAGAGGCAATTGCATAATAGCTCAAAATAGTCTCACTTTTGTATTTTGTATGTGGGGTGGAGGGATGGGTGTGGGGTACATGGTTGGGGTGGGGTGTGTGTTGGGGGAGGGAAGTCCTCGGAGTCCCTGGAGTGTGCAAGCCCCTGGATCTGCACGTGTTGGCAGGGTGCAGGACCAGCCCCATAGCCGCAGCTGCTGCACTCCTGCCTGAGTCCCCGACCACATGTAGCGGCGTCATGTGGGGCCAGCCCAACCCACCCCATAGCATACAACTCCTGTGCTCCTGTAGCATGCGGGGCCCGTCTGCAGATTGGCCCTATGTATGGGGTGAGGCTTGCAGAGCCAGTCCAGCATGGGCACTACATGCAGTGTGTGCCCCTCACCAGCCGTACATGCTAGACCTGGCATGTAGGGCCAGTCTGTGGACCCAATCTGACCAGCAAACTGACCCTGCACCCCTCTCCAGCCCACAGGACCAGATAAATTTGATGCCCCTGGACTAAAGTCATTCCTCACAAATGGATACGATTGTTGTCACTGCCACAGCTGTACCAGGACTAACTATATTAGCACATTTTCAACATTATTCTGAAAGGCTTTTATTTAGATCTTCAAGCCCATGGATGTGCCTTTTTTGAATCTCCTAGCACTGTCTGTCAAGGAGATATTTACAAGATAATTACATGGTGTGTTCTGTTTTTAAGAGTATAGCTTTGGGACTGAAAAAAACGCTGTACGATTACCTAGACTAGCACTTAGCCAAACAATGTAAAATACAGATCATCACTAAGCACACAGTACTGTCAGTATTATGGTATTAGTACCTCCAAAACTGACTAGCTCCTCTCATTTTCAAGGTCTTGAAGAATTGTTGTTGTCTACTGTTAATAACCTTGAAAATGAGAGTGTAGCCATGAAACTAACCAGTTCCCTTAATTTTCAAGGGTTCTAACAGCAGTGCTTGGACAGATGCTTCCCTTTTCATGTTTCTTGCCCAGTTAAAGTGAGCATAGTTAAATTACCAAGTAGATGGTGGGGCTGAGAGTTCCTGTGCACTTAAGTGGTTTGATTTCTGGACCTTTAGCTCTCCAAAACATACCTGAACAATTTGAGCTTAAGGAGTAACTATCATGTGAAGCGGTCACTATTGAGCGAACAAGACATGTCTGTTGTGAATGGTGTTTATAGAAGTGTTGACTAAATAGTAGAAAAATATTGAGAGTTAGAATTCCTGATCTCTGTTGGCTTTGAGAAGAGAATATGTACTGATGACCACAGCAGGAGAACAAACTTACTAAGCGCATAGATCCTACAAGTTTATTTTGAGCTACAGTGTGGATGAACTGAGAAGACTTGGGTCTGTGTATGTATTTGGATGGGGAGTCTTTCTGCTTGGAGCATTTCC